GCTGCATGATCACCTGTCATTGTACAATCCCAGTGAATTGACTGTCCATTCATTCCATCTAACGAGCTATTTCATTGTATTTGACAACTTGATGTGTACGAAGACATCATAATCTCATGATTTCATAATCTCTTAACGTTCCATCACGTAGTTTCAATGGGCACGTGGAATGTGTTTGTGTAGACATAGCGCAATGGATGGCGATGCGATGTGTTCGAAGTTTAAATATTATGTTTCAGTTTCCGACAATATACCTTGCATAGGTAGGTATAATTTAGCGCCTTTTACATCCTTCATCAGAATAGGGTAGACGACTAATTTTTATTTTAATGTCCGTCTGATAGATTATTTAAAAACATTAGACACGTATTTTTTATTTTCTCACAGAAACGAATAGTTTCGAAGATATATTGATTTGAAATGTCGCGTGACGTCACTTCTCAGTACATTTTGTACTAAGAAATGACGTTTTAGCCCCCACTCCTAAACTTTGATTCGTTTTATCTAAGTATTGTTTTATTATACGACAAAATAAAAAAATACGTGTCTAATATTTTTTCATTACCTAACTTACGGACTAATTATATTTTTAACTAGCTTCTGCCCACGACTTCGTACGCGCAATCCCATTTTCCCCCCGTTCCCGTTCGTGATTTTCGGTAAAAAGTAAAAAAAAGTATTGTATAAAAAATATCCTATGTCCGTCTCCTGGTTCTAAGCTACCTTCCTGCCAATTTTCATCTAAATCGATTGGGGCGTTCTTGAGTTATAAATAGTGTAACTAACACGACTTTCTTTTATATATATAGATTTTCATACCCTGTCATCATCCCCATTATAAGTATGTCCTACTCCTGTCCTACATATTTATCAATTTAAACATAGACTCGTCGTAGTCTGTCTGTGACAGACTGTCTCTGTACCTACATATTACCAACTTTCAGGTAAATTCGTATTTTTTTTTTTATAAATGATATTTTTTGGGATAAATAAAATTCTATAACCCATATATGTATACCCAAACTAGCAAATACCCTTATTTACATAGGTGTCAAGAGATAAGTTTAGTAGGTATAAGAATTATTGTCCTACGACCGAGGATATTTGAATATTTATATACTTACCTGCCCTAAAATAAACATACTTAGGAGTTTATGCTCCTTGCAAGCAATAAACTCCGATATTGAAGTGCAAGAATTTTGATTGGTGACGTAAAATTATTTAGTCAAACAATTTCGGCGTTTGATATCTACATTTATTGCTATTTTATGACCAAAAGTAGACTTTTGCAATTCAGAATTTGACTATTTGTTGGTATCTAGTCTAAAATATAATAATTTATTTCAGGTTATACGGATAAAGTAAGGCATATTTTAATTTCATCTAACGAATTGTACATCACAATAAAATCACAATAGCCGTTGAACATTCCAAGTAATTGTGACCCAAATACCTTGTGGCTTCGAATCCCGACTAGGAAATTTATTACCTCTAAGGATTCCCGTGTTCGTGAGAATATTCGTGATTCTATTATTTCCGTTTATAGAATGTTTTGACATGGCCGATTCATGACTCGTTACAGACGTCCATCTTGTTTTTCTGTTCTTTACAAGGCGGGAAAGTTATTCCTCGACAGATTACTAGGTAGCTGAAAAATGGTGTCCAATTTATTTTATTTTATCACTGAAGCCATTTACGCTTCGAGCTTTTAGATTCCTGAATTGTTTGAAGTTGGTAGCCAGTATTCAGGTGTTATCAGTTACATTTGAATTCCATTTCTTAGTAGGACACTTTCATTGAGTGGAATTCTGAGACTTTATTTGTAATTCTTACAATGCTAAAGGCTCTCCTTTACTACTTATCTACCACTTACTATCGGATAAAGGCATGGGTTGGAATTTCTAGGATAAAACGATTTACGTAGGTAGGTAAATGATCCTATATCGCCCTATAAAGTCCTATTAATATTGAGTAGTGATAAAATATATCAATATACATACAATTTCTACTACTTACATCAAGGAAATATAATATAGTTTTAAGGAGTTTAATTTTATTTTACAGCCGCATTTTTTAAATAAGTAAATCTTTCCAATTTGCACAATTCCCAACCATCAGATCTTAGTTTCTGCTCTGAGTACCCACTATAGGACCACTCCCTCAGCCTTTAGCCGTTACTTACTCTCGCGGTCGTTTACCGCAAAAAGATAGATAATATTTTACGTCGATGGCCCACGGCTATCATTATCTCGCGATCGTGTTGGTTTTCAATGTTTAAACGAGAATAAGAAACAGAAATGTCAAAACTATAAAATGTTATTTATTGAGCCATAATGACAATCAGGAATCAGCGTCCATCGTAGTCAATTTTACGCGCGCCCTTAACAATAATATTTATTACCGTCCAATGTAAGCAAGATCGACTACATACTTACATAGTAATGATGACCCAGACAGAAACCCTGTATCTAGTCTTGTTTCGTAGTAATAAAATTAAGCAACTAAAGTGAGAATTAAAAACATTGATATGAATACTTACATCAACACATTAAGTTAGTACATACCTAATTAGACGATTCTAAAGAATCGCTTCTTTGAAAATATCATTAGGTAACTAACAAAATCTTCATTTATTTTGTTGTTACGCAAACATAAGTAAGAATTGATTAGTTAAACTTCTACCTTTTATCTAAGACAATGCTGGTTTGTTAGTGGACGATGCACCCACGTGACAGTTTCGTTGATAGATTACGGTATAAATAACCATCGGACAAGTCGTAGCTTAGAGCCACGTCTCGGCTCGTCCCGCTGATGGCAAAACAATACAACAAATTACAAACACTATTGTTAACTTCTTACATCACCCACACCTACGCTACGTACAATGTGCTATGTAGGCGCTAGACGCGTTCGAAATTCGAATTTAAACTTTTGTTTCTGTGAAATGATTTATTTTTAAAAATACATTTTTGTTGATTGTTTATGGTCAGGAAAAAGGCGTTGGTGTGTATTATGCGCAAAATAAAATAAATGTTGCTATTTCTTTTATAAATATTATCATTGTTTTTATATTAATTACCACAAAAAACAAAACACTACGAGCTAACCAAATATTTCTTCAATTTGAATTATTATAAATTGTAATAAGTAGATTAAACTGAGCTCCGGTTTCGGCTTAAGCAGTTGAAAAAAAAGAGATTGGAAGACACATGCGTCAATTTCCGTCGATCCCAATAAAACCCCAAATGAATGGTCATTCAAATAAATTCGCTCGTCAGAAAAACACGTAAACTTTTTGTAATCGTTCGTTTACATTCTGAGAACCATTCGGTACAAGAATAGGGCACTTCTTGCAAAACCTAATTTTGAACTCTGGCGTATTACTAATTCACTATTTAAAAAACCGAGTTGGATAGGAATATGTGTCGGTTCATTTACCTACGGTTCTTTAATTTTTTGCTTTGTCATAAGACTGCTTCTGCTGATGATACAGAATTCTTAGATTTTTACAAGGTTAGGCTGTTATCAACACAATTTGAATCTAATGCCATTTAAAAATCGTAGCGCGAACTACGAAAATCGCCTCTATAGCTACGAAATAAAAGCGTAGCACGCGTAGTAGTCGGCCGCAGAGCGGATAAAGTTATAGCGGTGACAGTTAATATTTTTTTACTGCATAGATATGGCGGACCACCATAGAGGTGCTACTTTATGATCTTTATGTTTTAATAATAGGAACAAGTATTCATTAGTTTTATTTCCGCGTCTAAGAATGAAAGTAATAATTGTAATTTAATACAGCTTCCCTCAAACACCTCATTATATTAGACTTTTCTACGTAATAATAATAATCATCACATTTTTTATTTAATCTGTTTGTTTAATCATTTACATTCTTCCCGCGCTTCGTAACGTCAAAAAAGGGATGTCAGATAGAAATAGTTTCTATTTTGTATTGTTGTTGTTCCCCAGCTGTCGTCAAAGGAAGGATTCTCTCCGAAAATAAATTTATTCGAGGGAAATAAAACAATTACGGACGTTTTGTTTATATCACGTAAGTATTTGGGTACATAGCACAGCAAACTGACATTGATTTGTTGGAAATTGAGATTGGTAGTTGTTTTGTGTCTTCTAACAGCTAAATAACTATTTCATTTCTTTCTTTCTTTTCAAAGAAAAGCCAGTACTTATAATAGAAAAGTTCATGTTGGAATTCTAATGTCACACACACACACATGTTGCGTGCAATGTAAAGTACACTCCATTAAAAATCGCACATTTTAAGACAAAGTTTATGATTCATATAAGTAAGTACCTATAGAAAGAGGAAACTATAATATTAATATCAAAGAACCCAAATTGAAAGTTTTCAAATAAATAGGTTACTGTTTTTGGAACAAAAGAGTAGTGAGAGTGAGACTAGGGGAGGAGACGCGGGCGCACCGTCTGCGTACACCTGGCAGGGCAAGGCGCACACGATCATTAAAAATGTTTATTTAAAAATCCGACCGCTTAACGCCGGCCGACACTCCACAAAACTGAACCATTTCGGTTTAAGACCAACGTGTTTATTACGACGTTATACAATAAATGTTTTACAGTATTATTGTAAACACTACGCACACTAAGTAATTCACAAACAATTGTTATCATTGCAATCAATTAGTCCAACATTACTTATGATTTAACTCGTCGAGTACCGGTTTTATAGACACAATTAAAGAACAATAGGTCACGGTCACCGGTGACCGCTTGGTGCTTGACAGTTTAATGGTCCGTAAGCGTGCAATATAAAATCTTTCGTACTATATTTATGGCGGCGTACATCAAAACAATCATAATTTCATATAAAGCAGTATAACAGATTGCATCCACTGGCTTCACTAAAGATAGAGCGCTGTTTGATCCTCAGTGCAACAGACTGCGTAAAAGAATTTTGCTTGTTCAATTATAAATCATAGTGTTTAAGAGCTCGCGTAGATGAATACACATAGACATACTGCATAACCATTTCCAATGTCTACAAACGGTCTGTCTATTTTCCTAATGTGTCGGCGCGCGCGCAGGCTGGCCTCTTCACCGATTGGACAATGCTTTTTAACAAAACAAGAGTCTTCCTGAAACATCAACAACATATCAATGAACGCATTACCAGATATAAACGAAAACAAAGCTTTTTATTCTATTTATTTGTGTTATTATTACTTTCAACAGTTTCTGATTACGTTCGAACAATTCCAAGGATAATTTTTATTTAGAGCTTAGGGGCATAGCGCAATAAAAATAATATAGCCTTGTCAAAACAATCTTTGTAAACTATGAGGCTCTTCGGGGAATTAAAGAACACCATACGTTGGTCTTGTTCGATTGTAGTTGCCCCGGGAATTAGTGTCTTAAACATTCAATATCAGTCTGTCAGTTTACACAACGGACGCGTGCCGACTGAAAATGTCGAAATAGGAAAGTTCATTAAGCTCGCTGTGCGGCTGCAACGTATAATCCTGAAATGTTTACCCAACAATAAAGGCGCCTAAAACGCACTAAACTATGACATAAAAAGTTTAAAAAGCTCTCAGTAGATCAAACAAGACGAGTGGTGTCGGTCGACAGACGGCGCGGTGTTAGGTTACGGCCGGCGGGTCACATTTGTCCTAAATAATAAACACCAGATTGGTGTCGAAAAGAACACTTTTTATGACACCATCAGCGCGTAAACCCTCAATCCTGTGTTTATTTTTAATAAATCTTCCGCGAAGGTCGAAGTGTCTTTGATCTACCGAACAACTTTGATATCTATCTAAGTAAATACATTACGTACGATATACATAATTCAGATGTAATTTGAGAATATGACAAACAATCGCGAGCTAAAGTTTATCTTTAGTTTATACGTGTTAGTGTAACAGTAAAACAAAGTAATTAATTGTTCAGTGGTGTTCTCAATTTCCCCCGATTTGTTTATTTTATCCTAATGTAAGCCTTCTAATCAAAGCTAGGTCAAGCGTATCTAAAATAGACGGACAGATCTATCAGTACGCGAGAGCCATTACCATAATGGTAGTGCATATAAGTACCCGGTATATAATCCCTGCAATGAAGCTAGTAATGAGCCATCGTAAATCAGCGAAAAGGTAATTCAATAGCAATGACTGTTCATATGAAGAGAAAATTGCACGAGTGCCAACGGATTTAGTACTTATAAGGGTTCTGTTTTCTCGACATTCGAGTGAAAGTAAAGACGAGGTGATGCCCAGGAATGCAATCCGCAATCACAACTGTTAGGAGACAAGTTCCTATGAGTCAGTAAGAGTCTGACACTCCCTCCCGGCTCACCCAGGCGGGAGCAGTCATTCGATGATTTTCCCCCTTAAAAAAAAATGCCCCGGGAGTTGAAACGAGAAAAGTTCTAAGCATGTGATCTGGTACAGCTGTACTAAGCTGATAATGATTACAAATTGGAACAGCGATCGTCATGTCGGTCGTTGTCACCTATCACAGCCAGTGTCACAGGGTCTTAATGCGGAAATGTGCATTTGGGGCACCGGCACGCGAATTGTTGGCCACCGTGCGTTCGGAACTACGTCCCAGTTGCAAGACCTGGCCCGACACACATTCTCCGAACAATGATCCTTTAATTAGACTTTGCAGTGTGTTCTAATGTTGCACGGCTCGTTTACGCAATGTTCTGTTTCACCGCGATACGTTTCATATGAACAAGAGCACCTGGTCAGCTCTTACAGTGATCGTGTGTCGGTAATTTATTTGCTACAGACGCTGAACACATAATTTTAGTCCGTTTCACAGTAATGATTTTGTGACGTGTTTGTGTTTTCGTAGTAGTTTAGTTAGAGAGTTCCTCTGTACTATTACTATTACCTCACGTACTTATATAAATCTCTGTAAAAGTGATTCTGTAATTATCATTATTTATGCCCATTTACAGGCTGACGAGACAGTCATATAGCCAATACTTAGTAGGATTGCCTCTGGGATAATATTACTACTTTGATATTTACCGCAGGTGTTTAAAATTGTCGACACGACACGATGCTTGGCAGTCTGTATTATCATATAATCGACCAGCTATTGCCATAAAAAGACCGAAGAATTAGCAGTCAATTCTACACCTAATGCATTCACCTTCACTTCACCATACGCAGGTTTTTAGCACCTCTACTTAATTCAGTAACTCGATACTTTGTTGGATTAATCTCTTAAAGTACAAGTAGTAGACGTAACAATACCTCCTATTAATAAGTTCGAAGTAAAGTTAAACTTCGGCCTTCCACTGGTTTGTGAATTTAACCACAAGGGTCAATCGAGTATATTGATTCGGTTCCCAACTGTTCTAAATAAAGTTCTGATCGATTACTAATGTGTTAATAATAAATTATGTTTGTAAAACAATATGGGCTCGCGAAACAAGTAATTACAATCAAGATCACATTGCTATATTGAAAACAAAGGGGATTTGTACAAAGAAACTAATTTAATCCAGTTGGCCTGTTGGCAAAGCGATGTATTCTTAAGAATTTCGTATTTCTTATCTAGGTAATCCTTTTTGGCCTGGAAAATAATCTCTGAAATAAATGAAATTCTTCACGATATCGTAAGTAACATTATAATATGGTACATAATCTGTCAGCACGTGTAATTCTCAGAACCTAATTAGACAAATGTGAATGTCATAACTTGAGAAACAAGTAAAATTGTACACATAAGTAATTAAGTATCAACTTTACCCGTCATAAATCCCTTAAAGATAAATGTTGCGATTCGTTGTTTCATGTCATTTCAAAAAACAACTCTTAAGGGCATCACACAGTTATCAAGCACGCGGTACTTGCACGGCTCCGGCATGGCGTTTCTTGCTTTGGTAACAATACAAAAAGGTTGCAAGCTTACAGCTTTTTTATATTGACGTTATGAAATAAGTAAATCTTAATAAAGGTAATAAAATTGTACGTAGGCATATATTTCACAATAGGACAAAGTCGTGACCCAAGTACCTATATGTGTCTAAAAAATTATGTAAATAATTGAAGGAGCAAGAAAATTGTATTACATTGTTTATTTTACGTGCAGAAAATCTTTTATTTAAGTAAGTATATTTTACGAAATAATTTTATTATCAGATTATCCGAAACGAGGTTTTGTTCTGAAGAACATCCACTTGATTGATTGCTGAAACGTTGTAATATTTTACGTGCACAGAAAAATATTATTCTATAACTCAGACATCGATTTAGAAGTAAATTATTTCCAGTAATCATTTGTGGTTTAATCATGTGATTGGAATAACAGTATAGACGGCAATATGATGAAAATTATTAAGATTTTCAATCAAGATCTAATCATAACAGTACGTCTGCTATTCCTCGAACCGCGAGGCCAGGCTAAAGTGCTTGCAGTTACTGACGAAAAATGAGTCATTTTTCCTCAGTTAAAATACTAGGCAGTTGTATCGTAAGTACCCAATTATAGGTAGCTCATGTTTATATCAAATACAATATTAGTGTGTTTTATTCGATCTCTTTGGCTAGATTTGGTGTTACATTGTTCTCGCACAATCAAACCAATAAAACTGTGTAACTGAAGAATTGTATTGTGAAACTGATTGGAAAAGAGTAACCTATGGAGTTTCTTGCTCGTTCTTCTCCATAGGAATCTACACCTTGGAATGAGCAAATAGCTTCACTTTTAAATTTCTATTGCTGACGTTCAAAAGTGCCTTCCTGGTCTAATTGAAATAAATGATTTTTGACTTTTGACTTTTATCGATCCGTAGGATTATGTATCACAGTTCACAGGCAGTACTTTAGTACATGCGGGTAATGTTCTTACTTCAAAGTTCTATGTCAAAAGAGTCTAGGTACGTAACTGGAATTTAGACTACGAACAAAAGCAATAATAATAATATCTCTTCTTTCTCCACAATATCTACAAGAATAACTCGACTGAAATATGAATATATTTTCTCTTCATTTATTTTATTTATAAGTACGTCTGCTACGTGTTTGGTTAGAGTACTCTGCACGTAGGAGTTCGTGATCTAGTTCCATCAAAGGCAATTTGTGGGACTTAACGTCAGAGAGAAGTGTAGGGGCGCTGTGAGGCAAGTATGGAGGAATTACCCGAACTCGCGTGGGATGCTGCACTCCATACAAAAACGCAAACGCCCTTGAGCAACGCCGCTCTGTTTATTTGACTGTCGTCTAGCACTTAACGCCGACGTCGATATTTGCTATTTTTGCACGATACAACAACCAAGAAAAAATCCACTCTCTGGAAAATTATAAGCCATTTCCTTGTCTAGTACTGAGGGACTTTGATTTCAGTTTTACTTCAAAGTCAAAGCTTTTATTTCAATTAGGCCATTATCGACGCTTCTGAAAGTCAACAATCCGTTGGAATGTCTGTCTGTCGTACCAAAATCTATTCACGAAGGTCGAGTACAAAATTACTTTATATCGATGTTTTGTTTTAGAAATGGATGCAAGTAGGTACCCTGGGTAAGAATGAAAAGTCATTATGTAAATCGAGGTAATCCAGCTTAGCCTTTTCGATCTTAACAAAGCTGTAGTAGGTAAGTTATTATTTAGGTTATCTACTTTTAGGTTAGATTTTTTTATCTGTTGTTTCTAAAAACAAACCTAAATCCATTTCTTACAATACATCTTACGTGAGATGAAATAAGAGTGATTTTTTAAATGGATTTTTACGATGTTTTCGGCTGGGTGTCTGCTCCAAATCTGATACCAAGAAACAGAAATAATGGTACTTCGAATTCCTAATTGTTTTAATTAACTACGTACGTAGGGTTTTGTTTAGTTTTACGACCTTTTTTATTTTATTTATTTCGTTTTGAACTGGTTTGATTTACAGTTCGATTGTTTTATCTGATTTGTAAAAGCTTTAAAAGGCACCCTGTAGATATACAATTTAAAACATTGTATTTAGTTGGTTATTTCCTTTAATCCTTCTGAATACTTATTTAGATAAAATAAAATATATATTTGTCAGTAATTTGCAATCCGATGTTATTTTAATTGGCGAATTAATTACTATATTCATTCGGCTGTCAAATATTTGTATTGGATCAAAATATGTACCTGCC